CCTCATCATACATTTGAAAATACGGGTTCCAAACATCTAAAAATGAAAGCATCATGGACTATTCGAAAGCCAAACTTGATAGGTTCAATATTTAAGATTTGGAGAATCAACCAGCTCATTGTACATTGGAAAATATAGGTTCCAAATTTGATTATTTTGTTAACACTTTAGTAATTTTTACATGTTTACTAATATTTTTATCAAAAATATTGAATTTAGTTAAACTCACCGTTTCGTAATGGATCCAGCCTGTTAAACGTCTTGTCTAACTATGTGATTTGTGAGGAGTGGCCCAACAACCAAATAAGACTAGAAAAATGAAAGAAACAAAATAAACATAGATAATATCATGTGATTATATGGAATATTGGTCCAAAAATTGATACACAAATAAGACAGAAAAAATGTGAGACATCTTTTAATATCTTTACATAAAATTTTGGCTCCACAACAAATCGAACATACATGTTTAACACATACATAATCTTGAAGATTTAGATAGTAAAGTTGATTGTATAGTCCCAATATATTCTATGAGATCCCAAAAGATTTATCTTTGAATATATTATTACTATGAATCAATAGTAATATATAACATGATTTTATTTACAAACATTAGAAATAATAGATAAAAGGGTAGCACGATCAACAAAACATCTCGCTGGCATCCCTACTCGATAGATAGAATAATGTGTCTTCAACAAATACAAAGTCATATTGCACACATGTTGTACTATCATTTCTTTATTTCGCATCTTTAAACACACACAAGTCCCTTAGTGCACATTCGATAAAATTAAAACTATACAGAGAAGATTAGCAATAACAACAAACACACATTTTCTTCTCTATTATTTCTCTACATATATTTATATATATAGTTACGTCACTATTATAAGATAATTATTAGTGTGTGAAAAAATAATTAGATATAAAATTACAAGATATATTTCAAAATTCACTATTTTTCAATTATTTTAAACTTATGAAAGTTTAAATTTTGAATTTATCATCGAAAAAAATGATTGAGGGGGGTTGAGTAGTAGACAAAAGACCGTGAAATTGTGGTCTCATTTGTCTAAATGAGAAAGGAACACATGTAGTACTATAGCTACCAACCTGTCACAACCAAATTTGTCCTAAACGTCAAATAATTTGAGGTAACTATTTTTAAATAAAAAATAATTTGAGACATATGAAGTATTTGTGATCCCTAAAATACAATCAGTCACTTGTCAATGGTTCAATCCCAAGTATGTCCATATGCCTGCACATGTTATACACATATCCGTTTTTTATACTTTGCATATATATTTTTTACTCCCCTTCACTAAAATTTAAAGTTTACAAGTTCTAAGTTATAACGATTTTTTGCTTGCCATCATTATTTAATACATTTCTCAGTACATATATACAGGATTGAACTAAAGTTATTATTGAGTTTTCTGTCAAATTCATACAATAAATGACTTAATGGTTCTACAATAAGCAAAAAATTATCATAACTGATAAATTTTAAATTTTGAATCTGCCTCAATGTTTACCGAAAAGAACAAATAGTATTACATAAAGCAAAAGTTGTATATTCAGTATGATTGACAGTTTCCAAAATTTTGGATGATTTTTTTGTCAAATAGCCAAAAGAGGACAAAAGGGTAGTTCATTAAAATGTACCATGAAAATATAATTTGGTCCCCAATCTTCTTAACACATTGATTCTTATCCATAAACTCCAACTTGGCTTCACTATTTATGAAATTGAAATTTATTGACAATGTTTCATTTTTGTATTTGCATGACGATCGTCTGAAGTACAATTAAGTAAATAAAAGTGTGTTTTATTCAATCACACTATTAAACATGATATAAGAGCGTATAAAAAATTTAAGTTCGAGTAGTCTTATGATCATTTATTATAAAAAAAAAAAGATTTTTCATATGTTTAACCAAATAGAAAGAATATGTTCGAATGCCAAGAAGCATGTTGGAGATATTACTAATTAAGTAATAAAAATGTGTTCATTCTAACAATTTAAGTCGTAGACGATGTAATATAGTTGCAAAATAAACATCCTGATCCAATAGTGCTAGTATAATAGGCCCAATAATGGGTTCGTAAGTTTGACAAAAATCTAATGTTTAGACATCAAATCGTATATATACATATGCAGAAAAAGTATAAATTATTTAAAAATGTATGACGTCTAAATTCTGAATCTGCTACTATCATATAGTCCATGCATTATCTTTCTTCCTATTCTATTATTATCAGTATACTCCAAAAACTTCTTGATTTTATAATTTTAATTAATTGCCAAACATTATCACGATGTAGTAGATATATTGTGCAAAATAGTCAACATGTAGTATAACTTTAATAGTACTCCTAATATTTATTCTATTAGTATAGCTGTCTAATTAATACCAAAAAGGATGACCTAAATTATGCACAAATTTCACAATATAGCCACAGAAAAATCTTTAATTATTATGGTATATCTAGATCTAATTAATTTATAGCCCCTTCTCCAATTAGGCTATGTAGCAAACATCTATAATCAACTTTTTGTCTTGCAAATCACTGTGCAGATCCCTGCTGAATGGTAACCACAAAGATTATTGATGGTATGAATTGTGGCAGGATATTTAAAATCTGTTCATCGTTAATTAGAAGTTTTGAATTTGAATTCTTAGGAATACAAAAAAGTACTTGGAGTGCCGCCTCCCAGAAATATGGGTCATGCAATGCGCGGATCACCAGATTGAACCCCCCCCCCCCACTCCACCCCACCCCACCCCACCAAAGATTAAGAAATAATTATCAATATAAGACAAAGTTGTTGTATAATTATATTTTATGATAAGAAAAGAAAAGAGTGTTATATATTCTCTCTGTTCAAAATAAGTGTAATCTTAGCAAAAAATTACGTTCATTAGGTATTAAGAAATCAATTACTACAATGTTTGTTACTATCCCTATTTAATAAATGTCTCTTGGAAATGTAAGACTTTTAAAAAGATAGAGTATAGGGATATACTCCCTCTGTCCATGGGGCGCTTTTCGAAAGTCAATTTGACTAATTAGATTACATTAATTCGATATTTTAAATAAAAAATTTAGATATTCAAAAACTATACGAAAAGTACTATAAATTTCAATTCTTTGCATATCAATATGATGAAAAAATACATCGTAAAATTTTAGTCAAAGTTATTATCATTTGACTCTAAAAAGGAAAACTATGACAATTAAAAGTGGACGGAGATAGTAATTAAAAAAATATACTCTAATTTTTGGTCTTGAATTCCTACGGTGACCCTTATTTTGAGACGAAGGAAGTATATACACGATTGCAATTATGAGGCTTCAATGATCATCATGCTATAAATAGGTTACAAATTTAGCCAAAATAATCATGCTATATGTGCACGCATGCTTGGTTTAAGATCATAATTATCATTGATTAAAGACTTCAACTATTAGCTTTAACGAGGTAATCTCATTATGAGGATTGACATCAATCTCAAGGAATTATTGAAGGGATGAGTAAAAAGTTTTATGTATTGACGGTGTATATAATTTATAAGATAAACTTATAAGTAATCTTCATAATAAGCGTTAATCAATCACCTGAGTTATCCTTGTTAAAAAGTTGTTAATTGACATTCCTTCGCTGAAAAATTACGCTTTGTATATAGGTATATACTATATACAATGAATTTTCCTTAACTTTTTCATGCATTTACTTTGTTATAATTTAACTCTTTTTGATAAAAAATTTGATTCCGCTACGTACTCACTTGTGGTGGGGTTAAGAATGGGGTGTAATCCTCTTACTAAGTAGTGAGAATGTATTACTTTCTTGAGACAAAAAAGTGACTTTATGAAACATGTTGTCTACATGTTGATGTAGTATATTTGAAACTTGGGAAATTTAGAATGCATATTCACACTTTGGAATGTAAAGAAAATTTTAATTAGGCATGTGAAACAAAACTAGGTGGGGCAACAAATGTAATTTTTTTGGTTCAACAAAATTGACTCCACATCAAAAACCATTGGTGATTGGATGTGTTCACAATGCTAAAACACAACTACACCTCTATCTCAAGCAAGTCTGATCAATTGATTACATGAATCTTCACCAAGGGTGGACGACATAGCGTATGTGATAATGAGTTAAACCAAACTCGATTACTTTGGATTATATGGGTATATATGTTTTATAAATTCACTAAATAAAGTAGAAATAACAAATTTCAAACGCAATAAATCGAAGTGAATGGAATTTCAAAGTCACTCATAAGGTGTGAATTTTAGATCCGTGTATAATCTTCACTATCCGCGTGCCTATAAGAGGGTGCTCACATTGCCTTGACAACTAAGCATTGTAACTTTAAATATGCACATCTAAACACATTAACTCGTCTCTACTGTGTCAGTAAAACACTTAACTTACAAAATCATCATCTAGACACCTCCTTAATTTATGTGTCAAATTAGTATCGGGTGTCGACAAGACACAATGAGGCAGAGTTAAGAGTATGTAGTTGACAATTGAGACCAAGTTAATATTTTTAGATGTGCACTCTCAAAGTACTTAAGAGTACACTAAGGCCAAGTTTAGATATTTGTTTATGTATTATGTCTAATATTGTTTGATCATATTAGAGTTATAACAGTTCCTCCAACATTTTCAAATGAAATGGTTTGGCAAGACATTACAACAACAATAACTTTAACATATTCACTGTAATCCCATAAGTGAGATCTAAGAGAGATAGAGAGAACGCATACCTTATCTCTACCTCATAGAGATAGAGAGGCTATTTCCAATAGACCCTCAACTCGGTTTTGTATAAACAAAGCAAAGATTTGTTTCAAAATACAATCTTTAACCTCACTTTGAATGTAGAACTATTCATCCTTGCATGAACAAAGTTAAGCATCTAAACAACAACTTCAAGAAGACTATTGCCATAAGTACTAGTTCAACAAAGTTATATTATTTGCTATATAGAGGGTGGAACGATAGTAGCCACATCTATAGAGCCGATACATATTCTCACTCCAAATTTCAACCAACACAGTGCTACGAGCATTTGTTTGGGAAACACCCTGCTGGGAACAGGGATGTCATCTCCCTAGTTTATGCAGCTGGAACCTTTTTTCCGTCTTCTATGAAGAATATTGCAGATTCTGGAACCTGAGAACAGGAACACCAATGAACTTTAGCTAACATTATATGAAATCGGACAAGTATGGCTATATCTGTATTCCCAATTAGTAAATAAATCCTCTTTATTCATTGAGCCGTTTTAATCCATACTAACTAATGTCTTTGAAGACAGATATAAGGGTTGTCTAAAGATAGATCAAATTAGTAGAAAGTAGAAAATGGGATACACGGAGAAAAGGATAAAATGTTGATATGATAACATGGATAAAATATTCTTGAGTACATATAAAGACAATAATCAGAAGATAAAACAACATACATCTGGCCAGGTTTCTGTAATGAAGTCCACAATGTCATAGGATATGTCCCCTTGAACATCGATCTGCTCCTTTTCAGTTGGTCCCTGAAGCATTAATCCAGGTTAGGTACCCATCTATCTCATATCAGAGAAAATTAGAAAGCACAACTTTAACACACCTTAACCACAGAAGCTCCAGTAGCAAACTTTTTACCAAGCTTTTTTGAAGCATCACTTAGTTTAACACCTAAAATGTCCAAAAGAAGCAAAGCTAAAAACTGTAGCAACTTGGAAGACAGAAAGAATAAAAAACAATATAACGCAAGATAATATACAACTTCAGATATTGCTCACCAAAGATTTCAAGGCCCTTGATGGTAGTGATACTCTTTCGTCTGTTTCTGGTGACCTTTTCAATAATTATCTCCTGTTTATCCTACAATATAACCAAGAAAGTTTTACAACTTGTAGACTTGCTTATAAGTGTATTTTCACAGCATTATCTTGTTGGATCATGACGTCTTTGCTAAACCAATGGATAAGGCTCCATACTACGCCATGAAATGAAAGACACGTTATATGAAAAGTTGCTCAAATATAGTGAGGAATGAGGACTCAGGTTGGCATTAGGCAAGATGATGGTTTCAGTTACCATTGTTTATGAGGTTCTCCTTAGGGAGCGGGGGAAGGAGCAGAAGAATACACCAGATTGAAATAATAGCTAAAAAGACGTAAAGAAACAATTGGAAGTTGAAATGTGCTAATAGATAAGCCTCATTTGCTGCTTCACCATGCCAGAATGGAAACTAGATCATGCCAAATGATATGGGATCTTCATGCTCAGTTTACCACAATAAGATGGCATCCTTTCAATGAAATTCACTTAGGAACTTCTAGATACATTTAGTGAGTTCTACTAGCTGATTTTAGTAACTGACATGAGAACTTCCAGTGGAGAGGGTATTTTCTAGAGTTCCTCCAAATGAATATCCTACGGCGAGTGATCATTCGCATGAGTCAAGGAAATGAAAGCAAAGTCAAGTTTCTTAACTATACTATACTGCATCCACAACAATGAATGCATATCTGAACTGCAGGCATCTTAACAGACAGCTGCAAAAAAAGGCCATTTAATGACCTCCCAGATTCGTCTAGTCAGGTTTAGTTACTTTGATCCGAAGGATCAAACCTTTGATTTGGCATAATAAAAGAGATTAAAAGAATTAGTCCAAATATTTCAATTATATCACAGACCAGGCATTAAATATTGACCACTGCAATGAAAAATTACACAGAAAACCTTCAACTGAAATTGATTAATAAGTATGTAACAATGCAAGATTTCCAAAGATAAAGATGTCCGTAGTATCTTTGGAAGTTAATACCAGTACTGATTTTTCTTCTGGTTGGTAAACTGATTGGATTGAGCTCTTTTTATTTCTGTAATATCTACCTACTGCCTCTTCTGTTGAGAAAGAAGAGCTAAGGAGAAACTACTTAGGATGCTTGCATATTCACATTGCAGGGAAAACCCGCATCAAAGCATAACAGCTTCTAGTTAGTTCAACTAGGTGAATAGTATCCATCCAATATTTGAATATAAATGATATAACCAAGATATGTAACTTAATATCTCAAAGCAAAAGAGAGAAACTTTTCAATTAGAATGATCTTGATTCATAATATGTTGATAAAATTAAAATCTTAAGAAGATGGCTGACAGAGAACAATAATGAAAAGTTTTACAGGCACATGAATTCAATGGGAGGATTACAAGAACGTCACTTATCAAATTTTCTAAGAGCTTATAATATCACATGGATGGCACAGAGCCATGCCATTTTGAAAGAAGGATTAATATACATTAGACATAACGAAAAATGTTGGAAATTTCTTACTTTCTTTTTTATCTTTCCACCAGGAAGGCGCTTGACTTCTTCTTTCTTAGATGCAGAAGAACCTGACCCAACAAAAGGAACAGAAAGGTTAAGAACAGAATTCAATTTTAACATGCAGAGGGGGAAGAGGGAAGTAGATAAAATGAAATCCAAAAAGCAAAAAAAGATCCAAATCTAGGCCTACATTTCTTAGTTTAACCTACAACTATTGGCCCCATAGGCAAGGAAGACAGGATTTAAAACATCAAGTAAATATTTTATATTACAAGAACAGACAAAAAAAACCCGAAATGCAGATGGAATGAAGAAGATTGAGAACGTAATACAATTCATGAGAAGGTAGATGAGATGTGCGTGAAACTCAAAAAACAGAGTTCTCTAACACTTGCCAAATTGAAAAGATCAAGAACAAGATTCATTTAGTTGATGGAGCAACCAAGTCAACAGATTCCTATTTGGCCATGGAGACAAATTTGGAAAGGCAGAATTCCTTATAAAGTCTCATGTTTATATGGCTGCTAGCTAAGGAAGCAGCTTTGACACAGGATAATCTTATGAAAAGGGGGAAAACCTTATGTTCTAGGTGTTTTCTTTGTGGAGAAACATCAGAAACTGTTAACCATCTTTTTCTACACTGCAAATTTACTCAACAATAATGGAGGGTATTCTTGAGTCTCAAAGGCATATCCTGGGCTATGCCTAGGAGAATTACTGAAGCCCTAAAAAGTTGGGAGGAGGCAGGAGTGCTAGCTAAAGACAGAACGAGATGGAGAATTATCCCTGCTTCAATTTGGTGGGCAACCTGGAAAGAGAGAAATTCTAGGTGTTTTGAGAGCGTAGAGAATAGTATGCAGAAAGTTAAACTCAACTGCATTTTGTTGTTATGTTTTTGGTGCAATCAATTATACTCAAATGAAACCGTCTCTATAATTGATGTTTTAGATTCAATTTAGATTTAGAATAGTGGAGTTTTTGGAGTTCATCTGTATATAAGGTTTAGTACTGCCCATGTACTATTGTGTTATAATACAAAGTTACCAAGTTTCAAAAAAAAGATTCATTTAGTTGGAAGATAGCTAAATGACTATCAAAATCAAAACCATAGTTCTCAATACCTATCAAGTCAAAACTATGAAATGAGAAGTTGAAATGAGCAAAAAGGAACTTGACATCTCTTTTCAATTTTTCTTTATTACTCCTCCTTTAGCACATATGAGCTATGCAATATGGTGAAGTTTCTTCAATCTTCACGTCTTCCATTGTGGGAGTTTAGGAGGATTCATCCCATTTGATAGAGAACTCAAACAAAAATACTGCTCTCTGCTGGCCATTGACATAATGCAATGCCCAAGCAAGGTGTTGCAGAAAGCAATTGAAAGGGGTCGGTAAAGAGGCTATAGTGTAGCAACAAAAGGAGTACAACACACTCACAGTTTTCTTCTTATGTGACTCCTCTACTTCCCCAATGTTTGCAGAGTATGGCCAGTCTCAAGTCCATATAAAGGAGGAGAATGAGCTACATTGATGGACAAGAATAAAATAGTAATAAAATTTTATGAATACTCATTAATGAACTTGTTGAGACGTCTAGGCATTCATTATTCGGTGCCTGAGTATAGTGTTACATGGGTAAAGGGTTCCACAACATCTCCGCCTGGGTGTGAGGACTATAAGCAAGGGTGCCAGTGAGATGGACGAGTGTGGGTAAAGAAGTTAGTCCAACCACATCAGTGACCGGATGTGGAGCTAGATCAAATAGGCAGTTGTTACTTGTTATATAGGGTTGTTGACAAAGAAGTCAATGTAACCAATGGATTCCTCAAAGAGATAGAGAGAGCTTAGGATGAAAGTTTTGTGTGTTTATAACATAGCTCTGTTGGAGAAGTAGATGCACAGATTGGGGGTAGAGGAGCATGCACTACGAAGAAAGGTCATAGTGGATAAATATGCAATCACAGAAGGGAGTTGTAGGACTAAAACCATAATTGTCCCTTTTAGGTGCAGCTTTAGAGTAACAATGTGAAGGAACGGAGAGTCGAAACACAACATTCAAGGTAGGGAACAAGAACAGGATCAACCTCTGGAAGCACGTATGGTCTGGAGATAATACTTTGAGGCTCACATTAAACATCGAAAGACACACGAGCCAAAAGGAATGGAATCCAACATATACGAAGACTACAAGAGTGTGGTGTTCCTTGGACCTACAATTAGGAGGAACCTTTGGGATTTGAGGTAGCAGAATTTCAAAGCTTAATTCAAATGCTTTATAATCAGAATACATTATTGAACCATGACTCATAGAGGTGGAGGGGGGAGAGACAGTAGATTGTTCCTAGTAATGTCCTAGTACATTAAACCTTTAATCAGGGATGACTTGAGCTCCCTGCACCATTAGGATACCTATAGTGCCACCTTTTCACTTGATTGGCAACGATGGGAGCAATCCTAATAGTTGAAATTTAAGGAGGAGAAGGATTACATATGTTAGTTGGTGTTATATGTGTAAAGAGCTCCAGTGAGGATGTGGATCACCTCTTTTTGTATTGTCAGCTAGCTAACCGTTAGCGGCAGTAGGTTTTGAGATGGTTCAAGACAAAATGGACAACACCAAGCACCGAAAATGAGGCACTATTTAGATGGAATTATAAAAGACAAAAGACAAGATTTAGGACGGGTGATGTTTCCCATTCACGCTCATGGGTTTATATAGAAAGAAAAAAATAGGAGAGTTATTATGGGATGCAAAATGACTTTGAACACTTGAGGAATAACCTCTCATTTCTAGTTTCCTTTTGAAACAACAATTAGGTCCCAAATTGTGAAAAAAGATTAGGCATCTTTCACAGCAAATTACTCCATCCATCCTATTTTATGTAACAGTGTCTCCTTTAAGTCAGTTCAAAACGATCACATTTTTCCTTTTGTGAACAATTTAATCTAAGAATCCCAATTCTATCCTTAATGATTTGATTTTATAGCTACAAAAATGCCATGGCTTGTTTAGGATAACAAGTTTCAAGAGTCTTTGTTTCTTTCTTAAACTCCTTGCTCAGTCAAACACATTCACATATAATAGGAGGCAGGGAATATATCTATTTGTAGGTCCTCTACTTCTTGATATATCACTTCTACACAACATTGTCCCATGGTTGTTAGTTTGTTACCTATAGTATTGTATGGTATTGTGTTGTTAGTTTAAATATAATGTTTGTTTTGATTGTTACTTAAAATTTACTGTAGCATATGGTTATGTATTGACGAAAAGTCTCATTATGTAACGACCGATTCGTGTGATCGCATCCTTACCTTATTCTTGTTTTCTAGTTTTAACTTTACTTATTATCTAACTTTATCATGTACCCTACCTTTTCATAGTAACAATACCTCCTACACTAATTTACTTGTAAGTTTATACTTCAAATTGATGGTGTGTAACATTACGCAATGACATAAAACAATGCAATCTATCCAACATTGTACTCATCAAAACAATACAATACAATATAATAGATACATTATAAAACAAATTCTTCATTAAAATCAAGACACTCATGTTTCAACTTACAGGAAAAAAAAAAAAAAAGGAACTTTACCTTCCGAGATTGACGTCGACTGGAGCTGCTCAGAGACTTTATCAGCTTCTTTCAAATTAGAATCTGCAAAAAAAAAAACTAATCAACCAAAAAACAGGCAAATTGATAACTAATTACAGCTAAATTAATCGAGAATATACAAAAAAAAATCCTCAATTTTTAGGGTTTATAATAATAACCTTTAACAAGGTCTGGGTAGAGATCGGGTGCATTTTCGATCAACCAGGGTTTGCATTTCTCAAATTCGGATCCGAATTCACAGTACTCAGCGGGTAACCCGCAAACTCCACAATATAGAACCTCAACTGATTGGAGCATCTCCGCCATTACAGAAGAAAAAAAAAACTCCGGTTCGTTGCTCTGAGAAATTTGCTGAAACTTGAAGACGAATCGTCTCGTAAAACGGCGACGTTTTTTTCCCTTGGAGTATCTTTGGTTCGACTAATAGAATGAACTTAAAAACTATCCGTGACTATCAAAAAAGAAAATATTACAAAATTTGACCGACTTTTAAACCGACCAACTCAATAGGTTTGATTCCAAACTTTTTATAATAAAATTGATCCATATCGATCGATTTTAATTCTTATTTTAGTATAATTTAGTTGAAATTGAAGTTTAAAGTGGAGCAACTAATTTGATCAATGGATGGACTAAAAATTAATGTGACTAGTAGGGGTGTGCAAAAACCGAACCGACCGATAAACCGAACCGAAAAAAGTGTTATTGGTATATTGTTATTGGGTTATTGGGATAACGGTTATTTAATGGTTTTACAAAAAAAATTATTGGGTTATCGGTTTTTAATATTGGGTTATTGGGTTAACCGATAACCCATTAAGAATATAATAATTTACTATTTTAATTTTTAGTTATACATATATATAATATATTAAAAAAATATTAATATAATTAGTAGTATATTAGACTAAATATATAAAACCCTACGCAATAATTAACACTACTTAACAATTAACTCTCCTCTCTACTTTTAGTTATTTAACCTTTAGGTTTTACTTTATAGTATTACTTATTTACTTTAGTTAGTTTATAATTGACTAATATTAGGTTTTGCACGATTGTAAATATCTGCAATTTGATTAACATTAGGAATTCAAATTGTGTGTGTGTGTGTTTTTTTTTAAATAACGTAAGAACTTCATTTAGTTACCATAAGCATGGCCTCATTTGCTACTGTTTTGACTTTTGTCTATGATTTGGTTTTATTTGATTCTCTTTATTGCATAAAGGGGACCTCGTTTTATATATATTATGGTGATCGAAAATTAACCAAGTCTTTGTTGTGATGACCAAAATACAACAAGTTGGTCCTTGTTGTCCCGTTTGGAATAATTATTTTGATGTATGCGTATCGCGTCAAATTATTAGATAAGTCATATATTTGTTTTGAAAGCATTTTCTTATTGGTTAAACCGAAAACCGAACCGTTAAAGACCTAAAACCGATAAACCGAAAACCAATAACAAATACCTTATTGGTTTGGTTATCGGTTTAGCATATTTAAAAACCGAAAACCAATAAACCGAACCGATAATACTTATAACCGAACCGAACCGACCGATACACACCCCTAGTGACTAGTGATTATGGAAAACATGACAATAATCGATTGAATTTTAAATTGACCTATAAACCGATCGACTCGTTTGATTTGATCCCAATGTTTTAATAAAATCGATCGAGCTCGATTGAGTTTTTAATCTTTTATTTTAATATGATCTAGCGAACTCAAAATGAATGAGTTGGAAGGATTTATATTCATTTTCAGTATGTTTATTTTTAAAAATAAATAAATAAAATATATATATCAGTCAGTATTTATATTGGTTAATTTTTTTCATAAAAATTATTTTATTATTCCATTTTACCAAGTTATCATACCAGATTAAATACGAAAAGTTACTTATTTTACTTTATTTCTTGGCATCAATCGAGCCTGTGATATATAACTATGTTTTCAATAATTTATAATATTGAAAAGGTTATATAATTAAACCTTATTTAAAGTTGATTAAAGTCTCTTTATGTCACTCATTCTTGCTTGCTTAATTTCTAGGCAAATTTGATACGAACATTTACCACAAGTCTTGGAATGTTAAGGTACTAATGACAAATTCAGTGTTTAGTGACGGAGGCGAAAATTTCGTTAAAATTATTTTAAATATACTACATTATCTATAATTTTTGGATGAGAAGTGTTTAATTGATTACCAATCCTTAAACTTATATGGTTCTGCCATTGTCAGTACTAACTTTGAGGGATTGGCCGAAGTACGATTGTTAAAACTAAAATTTTACTCATACCTATATATAAATGTCAAAGTCAAGTTCAGAAAAATGTTCGAAATTACACTTTCAACTTCTAATATATACAAATTTTAAATTCTGAATTCATCACCGCGTTTATATTTTATTTAACAAGTTTTTTCTGTTGTAAAAGAAGTTTCACATAAGGCATGTCAAATGATATCAATATTCTTCTATTGGTGAAATCCTACTAGCCAAAATTAAACGCATACATATTATATATATCATTCATAACTTGTTATGTATATTCTTTTTAAAATTAATCAAACATCTTAGAGCATCAAAAGAATTCACTATAAATTGATTATTTTAAAGTTATTTAGTTGATGTCTTTCACGTTTATCTTGATTGGAGACTGACAATCTAAGCATGATCGTATAGGCACATAAACAATGAAGATTAATGCGAATTCAAAATTTGCACTCTATGAATTTGAGTTTAGAATGTTATCACATTTAAATTAATTTATAACGTTCAAAGTTTATATTTACATTTAAATATTAGTGGATTTTTTAAATATATTCAAGGTGTACGACTCAAATGTATCTAGCTCGAATTTACGTATATCATATACCGTCTCTGATAAAATCAACCTGACTTGTTTGAGATAGAAGCATAGTTGTGTGTTAGCATGGTGAGCACATCCAAATTCCAATCCACCAATGACTTTTGATGTGGAGTCAATTTTATTGGACCAAATATATCATATTTGTGCCCTCCCTTTCATTTTCTTATGGCTTAGCTTAGATTTAGCCCCACCTATTGTATGTTTGGCATGCCTAACTACAATTTTCTTTACATTCCTAACTCCTAAGTGTGAATTTGCCTTCTAGATTGCCCAAGTTTCAAATATACTACATCAACATGTTTCATAGAACTACTTTTTGTCCCAAGAAAGTATTACATTCTTACTACTAAGTAAGAGAATTACACCCCACCACAAGAAAACAAGAATAGAGTAATTGAGTAGGAACCAAGAATAAATTTAGTATGTAGTTTGGTTGCTGATTAGAATTATGTAGATATTAGTCATGTAAATATCAGCTACGTTATGCAAGTATTAGTTATATTATCAATTTTTTTTAAACACTTGATAGCATGTTAGCTACTATATATGTATTTTTATCATGTTCTTGAATAACACAAAGTATTGAGATTATAAGTAGATAGAAGAGTTTGAAAGTCGCAGATAATTAGGGTAGAAGATTAGTTGATAGTTGAGCGTTCTTGCTTTGTTTGGTGGTCATACTTGAACCCCCTTTCTTACTAGTTGTATTAGCACTATTATCATAGTTTCTTGTTTTTCGGGTATCACTTATGTTTTGTTGCTTCGATTATTGTCATAATATTGTTCATTCCTCTATATGTAGAACTGTTCTTCATTTCACAACTGCTTGTTCTTATTTCTGTAAAAAAAAAATCAAACTGCTTGAATATGCTTTATTTTAAGCCGAGGGTCTATTTAAAATAATGTCTTTCTATCTCTTCAAGGTAGAGATAAGGTGTGTATACGTTTCTACTCTCCGATACTCAGACCCCACTTATGAAACTACACTAAATATGTTAAAGTTATTATTGTATACACCGTCAATGCATACAACTTATATCTAATCCCTTCAATAATTACTTGAGATCAATGTCAATCTTAATAATGAGGTTACCTTGATAAAGCCAATAATTGAAATCTTTAATCCAAGATAATTATGATCTTAAACCAAGCATGCGTGCACACGGAGACAAAAAAGACTTAAAAAAGAAATGTGAACATAATTATTTTGGCTAAATTTAATTTGTAACCTATATATAGCGTGATGATTATTGATTAATTAGCCTCATAATTGCAATCGTGTATCCTTGAATACATAAATTTTTTGTCTTAATATTAATGATTTTGCCATATTTTTTATTACCATCAGCAGGGATTTGTACAGTAATTAGCAAGACAAAAAGTGATTATAGATGTCCCTAACATAGCCTAAATTGGAGAAAGGGCTATAAATTAAATTAATTAGAGCTAGACATAGCATAATTAGCAAGGATTTTTCTATGTCTATACTATTAATTTATGCATAATTAGGTCACCCTTTTTGGTATTAATTAGACAGCTATACTAATAGAATAAATATTAGGAGTAATATTAAAGTTATATTACATGTTGACTATTTTGCACTATATGTCTACTACATCATGATAATGTTTGTCAAATTAATTAAATTTTAAAAATCAATAAGTTTTTGGAGTGATGATAATGATAATATAAGCTCAAGAAAAAGTGGAAAATATGACACTAACAGATTCAAAATTTAGACGTTGTAGATTCTGAAATATTTATATATAAATATATAAATAATTATTATTTTTAAATACACGTATATACAATTTGACGCCTAAACTTCACTAGATTTTGTCAAACTCGTGAATTCATTATTGAGTCATTACTGATATCTAGGGGTGTTCTATTTCATGATCATCACGTTTAAAATTTTAAATTGTTCAATATAAAACACTTATATTAACAAATATGATTCTTTATTTATTTATTATAATAAATATCAATGAAATACAAACTTATCATCTTCATATATTTTATGTAACATGTTAAATTATGTGATCGTTTCATTTAAAAAGTTGGAGTTGTGGATAACGAAGGAACCCAAAGAATCTAAGGGACCCAAGTATATCTTCATGGTACATTATTGTTTGATTTTGCAAGATTTTTACCATTTTTGGCTATTTGACAAATAATTTTCTCTTTTTGGAGAGTGGCAACAAAATCCATCCAAAATTTTGGAAAATGTCCATTAATTCGAATATAATTAAACGTTATTTATTTATTTATTATAGTACAACTTAATTTCTTTCTAATAATATAAAGGTGCGGTATATGCAATACATCGTAAAAATAAATCATGAAAATATATTTTTCCAATTTGTTTAAGTTTGAGTGATTTAATAATCATTGATTTATTATGATATAATATATATAGATATATCTTAACTTGATTTCAACTGATAAATAAACACTTCAACTTTGAAGATGTACATCTAGACACCTCAACTTGTTTCCATTGTGTCAGTTAAACACACTAACTTAT